TGTGGGGAGGAGGAGGAGGAGGAGGGAGGGAGGAAGAGAAGAGAGTTGGCCCTGTACGCAGACACATGATTCAGTACCGTACCTTACACGTACACTATGTAACTAACATAAACTTAGAATTAACTTATGTATTTCTTTTTACTTTTCTGTTTTATTTTTTTTTATTTTTTCAATTTGTGTTCTTTCCACGCTTATATTTATCAACAATTTCATGCTTTATTTTTATAGGTCATAAACACAATACGGAAGACTCGCGGGAGATGCGTACGGAAGTCGACAAACACATTAAGTGAACAAGTGAGGCTTGGTCATATCTCGGAATACTCGTATGTCGGTACACTCGTATCTCAAGGTTCCACTGTACTATAACTACGGATGACAAATACTGCAGATGTGCAATTTTTCTAAGAGGGGGTTAAGACATAGAAGAGTCCATTACTTCACAAGGTGGCATATTCTGGTCCGTTGCTCAGCAGTGCAGCTGTCCTCCTGTGATCTGATCCATCAGTCAAGGTGGAAACATTCTATACATTTCCTTCTTGATTTAAGCTAAATGTCAGCCTGAAACAGAGGCTCACTGTTGAGCTTCCAATCCCTGTTTGACTGAACGGCTGTATAAGAACAAAATGTAAAAAAAAGAATGGCTTGCACGTTGTGAAGGTAAAGGATACTTCAGCACCAGCTTCTTCGCCAGATCTGTAGACGGGATGTACCACGGGTGCATCATGAGGAACATACGGACCAGGGAAGTGTCTTTCAGGAATCCTTTCTCATCTGCAGTAAAAAACAAAAAACGAAAAAATGTGGTGTGAAATCAAATAACTTTCCATCGTTACACAGACTAATTATTTAAGATGGGGACAGTTTGGAGATAACTCACCGAAGGCTTGGATGCACGCCTCCACCAGCTCATCCACCGTGGCCGACTGCTCTGCAGATACAGACTCCATTGTTCCACTGCGTTCTGTCTTTTCCCTCCTTTCCCTGGATCTGATTTGACTGAGAAACAAGTGGGAATTAAAAAAAAAAAAAAAGATCCAGCACAGAATATTAAAAGAAGGAGAAATGATGTCAAAGACAGTGACATTATTTGACTATCACTCACATAATGCCTTATTATTTCCATCATATACTTTTATCTAAGTATAATAAGTTAAAGTATATAAATAAGTTAAAGTATAACAGCGAACATTAGATTCATTCATAAACAGGTTTTTGATAGATCCTTATTTTTAAAGGAACAAATGTTGAAGGTTTTCTGTGGGGGTTTTTTGGACTTCAACCGTTTTTGAGAAGTCTCCATCACTTTGACACTGTGAAACTATACCTAATTTTCACTTCTGTATTACATATATATTCAGCATGTAGACCAAGAGTACCGACACTTTTTGGCTTGGGAGATTTTATTTAAATGATCAAATTAAAGTTACCCACATTGAAAATAATAAAATATATTATTTACTAATACTGTATATATTGAAAAAAAAATAAGCCTGTAGTGTTTCAAGTTCCTTTTTATGTTAAATCTTGTTTTTACAGGCCAAAATAACAACCAAAAATTTATGTGCTATAATATGTGTGCATACATCGCTAATACTACAAATCCCGGCAGTATATAGCTCCTATATACTGGCCAACGCTAGTACACATTTGATATGATCTCATGGGCCAAACATAATAACATTGTGGGCCAGAATTTGGCCCCAGGGCCTGAGTTTGACACAGTTTACTAATAGAATTATGTTTATATTTATACATGTGATTTTTTGTTTTGGTTGCCCATGACCTACCAGCACTCCCTTTGTGATCTAATGGTAGATCCCAATCTACTTATTGGGCATTTCTGATGTAGATGTTCAGATTATTATATCACTGTTACATAAATTTACAGGTTAATGGCATTTTTCCAATTTTCCCCATTTCTCCTGTAAATGAAATACTGTATATTAACCTATGAAACCATATTTAAGCTCTCTGTAATGGAGTTTAATGCATAAAGAAATAGATGATCCTGTCAATTTTAGGAAGTAGTTAAATCAGATTCTTGAATTTACTATGGTTAAAAAAAAGCCTAACTGTTATTCTTACTTTCCCATAAAGTACATCATCAATTCTTTAAAATATCAGAAGTCTACACTAATTTACAATCCCATCTGTTACCAGGCTTTTATTTTGAAAACATTTGAACATTTTAATACAGGGCTCACCAACCTTTTTGAAACTGAGAGCTACTTCAAGGGTACTTAGTAATACAGAGAGATACTTGTTTGATACAGACTTCCTGAACAATGTAATATTAACCAGTTCTCAGACACTCAGACTCTTCTTACCATCGTCATTGACCCATCCGAATATCATTGCAAGTGTAACTGATTCAAAAAGCACAGTAACAGTACATTTTTTGAGCCTCTTGTTGACTAGTTTTATTTTTAGAACATACCCCGTGGGCACCTTAGGCTACCAGGAGCCCCCCGGGCACCACGTTGGTGACCCCTGTTTTAATATAACTGAACCTATCATAGCACAATGAGAAACTTTCCTTCTAGCTCTCCGCTAACAACCCCACAACAATAACCACAGTCTTTAAACATCATTCACTTGCACCGCTAACACCGTGTCAACTTCCTCATCTGCTGCTAAATCTTTCCTTATACATTCAAACAGCACTAAAACTGACAACAGAATACAACATACAAAGCCACAACTACAAATCAGGAAACCACAGTGCATTATCCTTCTTGTGCAGCTTATAGTGTAAGGCGCGATAAAACAGAACAACCAAAAAAGGACTCATGCTGCACTCTATTGCAGGCAAGGTTCTCATGAACTATTATTAAGGTACTGTATTTATAAAAAAATAAATAAAAAAAAAGAGGTGAAAATATTTGAGAAATGTTTTTGAAAAAAACAATTTGGGGAATTTTTCGGTAAAATCGTAATTTTAGGTCATGTGGTCAGAAGGTGAAAAATTTTGACCTGTAAAAGGCAACCATAGTAACCACAGCTTTAGTCCTCTCGCTAAGGTTCCATTACAATGGGTTGTTAGGGAATTTAAAGTTAGCCACTGGATATTTTTAGTCACTGGTAATGAGTCAACACTGAGGTTATGCTTGGCAAAGTTAGGCCAAAAAATCCACAAGAACACAATAACCATTACTGCTGCTGCTGCTGCTGCTGCGTATTGTCTCTTACAGTGTTGGAAGGCTGTGACGAGTATGTATCTATTGTGCCTGACACAACGAAGACCACCACTGAGCTGTCTTCGCTGCAACGTGGTGGGCGGACACACTCAATTACAGGCTTCACACGTTTCCTCAACTACACACACACCTAAATACACACTAGAATACACACACACACACACACATACAATTCCAAGAAATAAATCACAAAGACCTGCGACACCTTGCTCAGCATTGTTTTAACAGTGCAACTTCTCAGCATTGATGGGTGTAACTTCAGTCAGAGCTAGAACTGATTTTGTTTTTCGGTTCATCTTTACAGTTCAGGTCAGAACAGTCTGCCCATCGGAGACAAATGAGGATATGAAACCAACCACCCCACCCTAATGTGAGGACGAACAGTTTTCATCGCTCTCTGGCTGTTACTCAAAGTGAAAAGCCGGGTTTCCGTCTGTACCACCTGTGCAGAGGCAGATGCTTCAAAGTGCATTCGGTGCCATCCAGACAAATGGGCCATTTATCATCCCTCTGACGGGAGCTCTTTGTCACGACCCTGAGGACAATTGCGTCCGTCAAAGGATTTCCTCAACGTATCTTTGCCTGCTTTCAAGTTAAACTGCAACTTTAATATTTACCAACAGGCCGATTCAAACAGCATCTCTGTATCTGTGAAGCTGTAAGATTGATTACCAGGTGGGGCTCACTGCGAGAGCTTTGGTGTCATCCTCGGTTGCCTGGTGACGACAGTCCAGTGCCATCGATCAGGCAGATTAGGGGGTGGATGGGGCGCAGCAGGGATAAAAGGAAGTTGACAGGTGTCTGGTCAATCCTGGCCTTGCACATAAAAAAAAAATGCAGTGTGGTGCTGGTTTAGTGGGCAATGAAAATGTCACCTTTGGCCAGACTAAGAAGAACACTGGTTCTCTGCTGTTCCCTTTTCTTTATATTAATATGCCAGCGAAAAGGACAAAAACAGTCGACTGACAAAATTGAACTTTTAATAAAATACCCTTAAAGAGTCAAAAAAGAGGCAAAACGTTGGACACGAATTAAGAAGTATTTCAACACATTTGCAATGAACCGGAAGGCAGTGTAACATAGGTGGCACAGCTCTGGGGATTATATGGTGACCTGCAGTGTTTGAGCTCAAACCCTAACCACAGGACAGGACATAGAGCAGGAAATGACTTACTGCCTGATTTATTTTCTTCTCTAAAGTTGACGGCAGTTTCAATCCCTGTTGCAAACTACTTGTTCTATAATGAAGAGTCAGATAAATGTAAATTTAGAGAGAAAAAATTGGACTCAACATACAAACATGAAATAAATGTGACTTTCTGCATAGCTTATGAATACAACTGATCAGAAAGTGAGCAGAGCTTTAATACCAACTGAAAGAAACACAGCTGAATTACTTGTATTGTTACAGTACTGATAATGCAGCCTCGCTCCCCAAACGGTCCCTGGTGTTAAAATACCTTCAAACTGCTGACACGGAATCGGAGTAAGAAAACAAACAACACTGGCTGACTGGCAGCTGGTTGTGGTAAAATGTCGTTACACAGTATTTGAATAAAGTTTCAGTATCATGCATTCTTATTTCAGTCATTTTAAAATGTGATATAATATATATATATACAGTAATCCCTTGAGAAACAAGTATAATCCGTTCCAGGACTGACCTCGTAACTCAAGGTGCTCGTATGTCAAATACTTTTTTCCCATAAGAATAATAGAAAAAAAATTAATCTGTTCCGGCCCTTATTATAAGAGAGTTGGCCTGTACGTAGACACATGATTTCGCACTGTACCTTACACGTACACAATGTAACTTACATAATCTTAATCTTTCCTTTTTTTGTCTTTTTTTGATTTATATTCTTTACTTTTCTTCCCTTTCTTAGCTTTTTTCTCCTGAATACGCTCATTTTCGCTTGGTGCAGGCCTTTTAACAAAATACCTACCGAGGGAGATTTGTTTGATTTTTCAAAATGTTACGGAAATGAGTAAGGCACGTGCCGTCAGAAAGTGCCGAGGCAAGACCAGTAGACAATTTATCAGGGTGTTTCTTTTCAATGAAATTACATAGATAACGCAAACACAATACAGAAGACCCGTGGGAGATGCGTATGTAAGTCAGTGCACACGTGAAGTGAACGAGTGAGGTGGCGTGGGCTGCTCCGAGTGCTCTGCCACCTAGCTTTGGTGCTGGTAAACGTGCTTGTATCTCAAATCTTTACTCTTGTCTCAAAGCAAATATTTGCTCAATTAAAACGTTTCTGTTTTAGGCTGTAATGATGAGAATGGCTTTGAACTGAGTATTTGAGGCGCATTTTCTTATTTCAGACCTATTGGCAATAAATGATCTCAAACATTAACTACATTTTAAAAATACATTAGTGAAAACACCATTAATCACCATGTGGGCGCTCTCACTATGCGATGCTTAATACGCCTCCTCTTCACCAATTCATGGGCAAACTGCCTAATTAAACAAATTTCCATCACCTTTAATGTCTTAAAATCGACACTAGCACAGACTGATCGGAGGATATTGACTAACACACAGATCATGAAATCCATCCTCTTATTGGCGTTTCCATAATGGCCTCATTTCCATACTGGTAAATACCCTACACTTGAGCAAACGTCTCTGCACAGTCATTGATTTTGTGAAATGCTTGGCCTCCTGGCATTTGGGTAAATGTGATTGATGTTTTTATAGCTAATGGTCATGAGCCAAACGTGTAGGTTGCATTAACTCACTCTGTGTAGCTAACGGGCAGCATTTGGAAATTCGTCAATAATGCCCTCACCCCCTTTCACAAATGAGGTGAAATGTTCATTCACCTGTGCCCTGTCACACCCCCAGGGGTGAGCAACATGGGTGAGTTTATCATGTCATCAATCTGAGCTGACCAAGGTAACGACTGACATTTTTAGATCAGTCTAACGACCGCCCCGGGGAAAGGTCTGTGCCACGCTGGAGGAGAGTAAAACAAACATTACATAAAGTAAGGCCATTAATGGGTGGGCTGGGGTCCAGATACAGACTGGGACTTTTCCTCTCCTGACCTGGACCTGAGGTCTGTTTGGAGCAGCTTCTACTGCTTTTAGGGCAAAAATCTATCGGCCCTCTTCTCGTGCGATGCTAATCACCCGATCAAATCCCCGCATTCGCACACGCAGATCATTTCAACAGCCGTGAAGAGAGACTGTAATTCATACTCCTTTAAAACCAGAATGGACTGAAAATTGAACAATTATTACTTTAAGAGGATATTCGGAAAGTTGTGGAGATGATTTAGCGCCACCATGAGACAAAGCACAGTATTTCTGTTCAAATGTGCAATCAATGACTAACTAAACGTAAAAATTAACAAAAAGAATTCCAAAAAAGTGGTCTGGGACAAAGAGTTCTAGTCCACCACGAGAACTTTATAGGTCATAAGTATCAAACTCAAGGCCTGTGGGCCAAATATGGTCCATGATGCTTAGTTTCTTTAATTAATATACAGCGGCCCCTCGTTTATCGCGGTAGATAGTCTGCCGTGAGAACTGAATTTCCGCTAAGTAGTGACACCATATTTATGTGCAGTAAAATGATGATGAGGAAGGTGATGATGACTCTTAATGCGCAGCCAATGATTGAGTTTACGTCTCTTCAGAGGGTGGTACCATTTCTTGGGGCACCTCTTCCACGGTTTCCGAAATTAATAAAAAACAATCAACTACAGAGTATTTACATCTCTTCAGTCTTACAGTTACAACCGGCCCTTCAAGGGGAACTTTAAGTTTTGCTGATGTCGCCCCCCAGTGGAAATGAGTTTGAGACCCCAATGTGATGACACATAAGACATTATGATGACCCTTTTTGTATCCATTAAGGTAGATTAAAAATAAAGTTTGGTACATTTCTAGATCTGCGGGATCCTGGATTTCACTTCAGTCTCCAGTACTACTGAAGGAAATGAAGAACACAGTAAAAACATGATTGGTTTAGTTTTCTTCTAAACTATTGTCTATATAGTATTTCTGTAAAGAAAAGAATACTTGAGAATTTAGAATTATTGTGCTGCGGGAACAATGCTGGTGTTTCTGTTTATAAAAATTGCTCACACCCGTCTTCCTTCCACTTCCTGTCAAAGACTATGTTTCTGTGAGTCTCCGACCGTCCGCTGCCGGAACTCTTTTTTTTTTTAGCTATTAACAAAATGTGCAACAGACTGACAGCATTTTGACATTCACACTGACAATCAATCAATCAATTCCTCCTTGAACTAAATCCAAAATGTAGTTCAAGGAGGAAAAAGCGTGATAGATGTTGCACTTGCTTAAAACTTGCTTAGTTGTGTTGAATATCTTGGATATGCACGGTGTAAGGAACCACTCAGGATTACATTTCACTGATGTAGTAAGTGCTTAACACGCAATCCCAACCACAAAAAAGAAAAAAACTTGAATCGTGACTCTCTTGAATTTTATATTGAGTAAGCATCAGGAACTGAGTTTAAGTTTTTTTTTTTCCTCTGTCCCTGTGAAGCCGCGGTACCGCCCACCGACAGTATGCGGACACCATTCGGTCTTTCTTTCCAATTTCTTTCCAAAGGAGCCCATACACCACACTTATCTGTTTCTCACAGCCACCACCCCCACCTTCTCCCATCTCCTCCGCCACCCGTTTGTCTCAGGAAGTTGTAGCATGGGTGCTCCATGATGGGACAGATATAGTACTCCAGCGGGGCCTGCGGGGAGGCTGGTGGCAGGCTCTATTTACAGAAGACATGGGTACTGAGACAGGAAGGGAAACATTTCCTTTTCCCTGGACATGTAAAATGCCACATCAGTGGGGGGGCAAAGGCTGCAAACTGAGATTAGCAGCTGCAGTGGCTCCTCAGGGAGGGGATAAGTGGCCAGTGGAGGGAGGACAGGGAGGAGGAGCACGAGGAGAAGACATGATAAGGCAGACAGAGGGTGAAGAAAAAATTCACTTTAGCGTAGTTAATGGTAAAAAGAAAAAAAAACAAAGAGGGCAGAGGTCAGGGGAGATACTGATGACAAAAAAAAGGGTCAGAAACACAACATGGATCTGTCTCAAAACACAAATACTCCCTATGCAAACTAAGCAGCGGCAGCATTTTCATAATCCAAATAACAGGAGGAAGTGAGGGAGAAGAACATTCAGATATATCACGGTGTGTGTCAGCTGCCAGAGTTCAACGTTTTATCGCGTTCTTCAAAGTGAGAAGGAAGCTCGAAACTTCGGACTCGTTCCACATCTGGCAGACTCGGCTCACATCTCAACTGTCTGACTTCAAATAGGACATGTGTGAAACATAAACTGGCATTACTGAAGATTCCATGTGCTGCCGGAATATCTGCCCACCCCACTCACCCCCGACCCCCCGCCTACCATACACAACAATGTATCATTGTGTCGCAATGTTTTTACTGCTTTGTTTTCAGGCTTCCTGCTCCAACGTCTGTCCTTTTACCAGATGTGAAAGTTTGTAGCATAACAAATACCGGAAGCGAGGGTGTGTATGTGTGACAGAGCAAAAGAGAGAGAGAGAAATGAGGCGACTGTAGTCTTGTTATTAATAGGATCCCACAGAGAGAGGCAATTCTCCGAAAATTAAGTAGCATATTTCCTTCTTTTTTTTCAAATTTTAACTGATTTTTATTTTGCTACATAAAAGAATTTCCCCCTTTTGTTGTTTTTCTCTCTCTCACACACACACACACACACAGACACACAACAAGCTGTAGGTCAAATAAGAGATTAGGAGTTCAAACCTGATTCGTCATCTTTGGCCATAACAGGTTAGGGTTTGGCTCTTAAAGAGAATATCCTCGTGATTTTTACCAACAGTATAAACAGTTAATTCTCTACATGAATGGGTCATAGTTCATTTTTTGTTGTTTTTTTTTCTTTTCTTGTAATACTGAAGTCAGGAATCTTACTTCCTGTTGTTACAGAGTGTTAACGGAGGGGAGGGTATTTTATGATGAAACAGTTTCGTAGCCTGAGAAGTACTCTGCAGTATTATGTTGGTTTCAGAAAAAAAAGAGGCGTATTGTCATTTGTAAAATGCACTTTTAGAAAAGTAGTCATAACCTTAAAAAGTAGTCATGACTTTTTTTTCTTGAATGATGTTTCCAATCATTATATTGTATATATTATTGATTGATTTAAGTTTATATGGAATATGAAAATGAAAGAAAAAAAGGAATACATACATAGTATTGACAAACATAGAATGCATATTCAAAAAGAACTGGGAAGAAGTAAAACTTCTTATATTATATATATTACTTATTATAATAACAGTGGCTCTCAGAGATGCCTACAAGTATGTCTCGAAACACAAGAGTCCAGGTGGAAACAATCTACAGCATGCAGTC